ACTTATGGAGTGAGAATGGGCCTGGGGCCCCAGATTGGGGTGAACTGTGCACCGCATTGGCCTTTTCATTTCACCAGCGGCATGTTCCTGAGGCCTCTGCTCCATTACAGCATTCCATTCATCTGGTCTGGGAAGTGTCCGCTTGCCCTTTGATCAGCGAGTTTACATGCTTTCCACGGGTATTTGGGGATTATTGTGTCGGGAGATATTCAGGTACGAATCAGAAATCCAGGGTGGGGGCTCTCACGATTAAAAATGAAGTGCAGGTGGGAACTCTGAAGGAGCAGCAGATTGGAACAGAACGCTAGTCTGTGTTACATGGCGCGTGGCCTGCTCTCGTCGGGAGACGGCCATTCCCCAATCCGCAGCCTTAAAGCGAGGCGTTTCTCAAGCTCAGGTCGAAATGTCAGGCGTGAGGATGCATGGCTTCAAACAAAATCATTTTGTTTGCAGATGTTATTATTCTCCGTAAGATTGTAAGCACATTTGAGGCCGCCAGTCCTTGCGCACATGCGTTAGGCCAGCAGGGCTACAAAAGCAGCACACAACTGCAATGAAACTTCAAGGAAACTTCAAATGTGTTTCTCATCAGGTTCTTGTGCACTTGTGGCATACATTCCTGCACAAAGTAAGGCTCTGAGTCTGGATTCAATAAAAATAATCATGCTGCTATGGTTTTAGCTAATAATAACTCTGGTGGTCGGCTTTGAAGTGTTTCAGGTACTTTCTAAATGACTTTTTAAAATCCCTTCCTAAGTGCTCAGTGTTTTCTTTTTCTCCTTCAAAAGCATTTTCTTTGACAATCCATACTGGACAATTGTGAGTTCTGTTACTCGAATGATTTTAAACCTTATAAATGCTTGGAATAAAAAGGTCTGCGCTATTAAACAGAACAGTTGTCCATTTTGTGAAGCAGGTTTGCTGTGTGTGACTGAATTGGTTAAGGTAGTTTAGAGTGGGGAGGTCCATCACTGTGTGTTGGCAGCAAAAGAACAAGTAGGGGTTAAAAGAAAAGTAGAAAGATAAACCACCTTTTCAAATGTGTAAGATGGAGAGTGTGCAAACAAAGGGGATGAAAGGGAAATGAAAAGGTATGAAAAGATGAAAGTTGTAAATAAATGGAGAGGATTAAAAAAGCAGTTATGATTGAGTATCAAGATTCTAGTTGAAGAGCCATCTTGGGTGATCCTGGGAAAGAAAGGGTGGAAAGGAAGCAGATGTGGAATACAGTTCTGGGACTGGGAATTCCTCATCAGGTTGGTGCTGTGAGGGCTGTTTCCTGCTGAGCTGAGGGCCCTGTCCGTGCAGCGCATAGGGTATCCCCTGTCAATGAAGCGTGAGCGCATTAGAAGGGCTGGTTATGGAGGTCTGTGTCGACTCTGCATAACTGACAAAGTTTTGGGGGTTCATAAAACAGACAGTTGACAGTCCTGGTTGGTCGATAGAGAGGCTTATTACTAGGAAAGGCAGAAGAACGGAGGATACATTAACAGTGAGTATTGGAGATTGGCGTTAGTGAAATGATGCAGGACGTTCTGTTTGGAACTGTTGGCAGCACTGAAGCAGTCATCAGTGTATCACTTGCAAAGGTTGAAGACAAAGCCACTGTAGGAGAGCAGCATTCTTCCAGCTAGATGACAAAGATATTGGCATACCTGGGTGCCGACATCGTATCCATAGCAACTCCACTGACCTGTTGATAGAATAGGTAAACAAAGAAAAGTGTGTCCAGTGTGGAAACCAATTCAACTGTTCGCACAAGCCAGTGAATCGGAGATCAAGGCCTGTATGTTTGAGTGTGTGCATCATGGGAAATGATGCTGTAAAGGCATCCGATGAACAAGGTCAAGAAGAATCATTCTGGAAAACTGGATATTGTCCCAAAGCTGCAAAACACCTTAAACATGCAGGGCTTGGTCCTCTTACCCATGCCCTTGCCTCTAAAAGTATGTTGATGAGAGTGTACGGTGTTCTTTCTTTCTCAGACTTTGTTACTTTATTATTCGGTGAGCAGCTAACAGTTTGTGGTAACTGAAATCTCCAAGTCCAACTTGGGAAGAAAGTTTTGTTTTGAGACCGTGTCTTTCCAAATTCAACACCTGCTGGTCTGTTTTTAATATTTGCTTCAGGGCGTTGTTTTAAGCTTGCAGTTCCCCGCCCTGTTCTAACTCGGTGTCTGCCATAAACGTTGCTGCATGTGTAGTGTGGAGCAGGATTTCATTTCAAATCTTCTCTGAAATTCAAAGCCTGGTCTGACAGCCACTTGTTGCATAGCCTGTGGTTGCTTGTTCGTCTCCTCTCTTGAAGGCTTTTCCTGAATCCGAGAGGTCAAGAGAGAGCGAATGTGTTTGTTTTTCACAGACTGCTGGTAGCCTGGTTTATTGTGCTTGTTTTGTTATGTCTCTCCTCCTCAAGATACTTGATCTGAGCTCAACCAGGTCCTGCAAAGCTATGCTCAGCCCCAGACCTGAGATAAGTGTGAAGCAAGAGGTCTCCCTAGAGCAGGGTGTTTGTAGTTTGCAGTCTTTTAACTTGCCTCAGAAAGTGTCCCCCCACAAGTGTAAGATTGTAACTAAAACCAATATTTAAAAGGGACCAGATGATCAATGGCAACATGCATGCTTTTCAAATCACATTTTAAAATAATGGCTTATTTTGACAAATTAAAATCTGTGCCGATCTTGCACTTGCTATTCAAATTACAGTGCACAAGCCTAGCTTTGCGGTTTTCAGAGATAAAAGGACATTGATTCACAAAGGACACACACTTTGAAAATCCATTTTAAGGGCCATATCAGTGCAGTAGTTTGATTCAGCGGTAGAACAGTATTGTTTAAAGAACTGAAGAACCCGTGATGAAGTAGAAACAGTCGAAGTCAGTGAGGGAACCCAGAAACAAGTACCAATCATGGCCTCCTAATAATCCCCCTCTATGAATTGACTTCATTACTCTGCTCTCCTCCCCACTGATAGCTGGTGTTTGGTGAGCGTTCTGGCGCACTATGGTTGCTGTCGCATCATCCAGGTGGATGCTGCTCATTGGTGGTGGTGGAGGGGAGTCCCCATTACCTGTAAAGCGCTTTGAGTGGAGTATCCAGAAAAGCGCCATATAAGTGTAAGCAATTATTATTATTATTATTATTAATGATAATGATAATCATCATCAAATGATATTGAGAGCCAAAAGAGCTGCTCATCTGGGGCTCAGACTAAGCCACTTCCAGCTTTACTCTGGGCCATCCCATTAGATAACACAACTGGGGGTTTTTCCTGGCTTGACTGCTGAGGCTTGCTGGGTGTGTGTGAATTTGCAGGGCCACATGAACGGCAGGAGACTGACGGGAGAATCCAAATAGTTTTCTTTCACATTACTTCACACCCCAAAGCTGGTACAGGGCTCACAATGGAAGAGCAACGGTCCTTCCAAATTTGATGGAGGTATAATCATATGTTCTCAAAAGCTAAAACGTCCAGAACATAAGACCGTACATTTCACACTTTTTGCCCAAATGTCTATTTGACCCAATCAAATGAACCTGAAGGGTGAAATTTAGAAAAGGGTTGTGTGGTGATTAATTATCTGCGGCCAACACCAGCAGTCTGCATTTTTTAAATCTGTGGCACAGCTGCAGTGGCATAAAGCCCCTGTGGCTCTTGAGAGTATCCAGAATCTTGATGGGGGGATTCCTCAGAGTGCTGCCTATTCTTCACCCCCCACCCCCGACACACACACACACACACACCATCACACCACCACCAGCACCACCCCGGTCTGACAACAACGCTTCCTGGTTTAATAAGCCTCTGGCAGGATTCCCAAGCTGCCTGAAGTGCTGCTCTCCCTGGTGGAAATCATTCCTCCCTTTGAAGTCCTTCCCAGAACTGTCAGCTACTGCCGCCCTGCTCCCCGGAGGAGCAGGTACCGGAGCCAGACCTGGCTGAGCTCGGGAAAGAGTCTGCCCGTCTGCAGCTACACGGAATGTGCTTGTTTATACAGTCTTATCTGGCTGTGCACTGCTATTTCGCCTGGCAGGCAGGGCTATAGAAAGCAGCTGTCTAAGCAACTGGGAGGGATGCTCTTGTGGCCCAGTTTCACAACCGCTATAATTTTATTTTCCCCAAAAACATCTTTTGCAAGGGGCTGCTGTTTTTTATTCATTGCATGTGGTTTATTTCCTCAGTAGTTTGTTGTAGCTTAATGTTCGTCCAGCCGGTTCCGTCGTTCAGTTCTGGAGAGTAAAGGTATGACGATTTGGGGGAGAAATGCACGTTTATTTCAACAACACAGCCTAAAGCTTGTTCCTTCGTAGTCACTTAATAGAATATTCAACAGGATGTCCACTTCTGGCCATTGTGATTTTATCCCCTACTCCCTTGTCCCCCTCGGAGATGAAAGAGCAAACAACAAATGAAAAATTAAATAATGTGCTCTTCTGTGCAGAACACATGATCCCTCACAGTCGGTTTCTCATTGCAATCCAAAACAGTTTTCGCTGGTTATGATCCCAGGTTGAAACAGTTCTTACTCCCTTGTGTCAGTCATTTAACATCAGTATAATTTGTCTGATCATAGATTTTTCATAGCCCCAAGAAACCTCTATTTTAAGCTTTTTAAGCAGCCTGCACATAAACTCTGAAAATGATTTATTCACCGTTTGGGAGAGGTTTGTTTTTATAGTTTTGTCTTCTCTGAAATGTTATTCTTTTGTTAAGTCTGCCTTTTTCCCCCTAAAAGATTGAGAGGGTATCGTATGCAAAAAGCAGTTTTGTTACTTCTGTCTTCCTGCTCAGCTGTGCACAATATGTGGCCTGAAAAGCTGAGCTAGTCCGTGAAAGTCCTGATGCAATATGAGAGGGGAATGACGTACACAGCCTGAAAATCTTGAGGAATGTCTTTTTCACGCCTTCCTGACTCTCTCTATTTCGACCCTAGGGTTTTCTCACCCCTCGGAAATAAAGCACACCCGGTCAGCGCTCTTGTTTTTGTTCTGTTTCCGCAGAGGAGGTCGACTACAGCGACTTTGGCACCAACACCCTGACGCGGCGGAAGAAGGCGGTCGTTGCGTTGCGCCCCGACGTCATCAGGAAGCGGCCTCACATCCGGATTGGCCTGCCTCAGGACTTCCGCCCCGTGTCGTCCATCATCGACGTGGACATCCTGCCAGAGTCCCACCGGCGGGTCCGGCTGTACCGCCATGGCTCGGACAAGCCGCTGGGTTTCTACATCCGGGATGGCACCAGCGTCCGCGTCACCCCGCACGGCCTGGAGAAGGTGCCGGGGATCTTCATCTCCCGCATGGTGCCGGGGGGGCTGGCGGAGAGCACGGGGCTGCTGGCGGTCAATGACGAGGTGCTGGAGGTGAACGGGATCGAGGTGACGGGCAAGACCCTGGACCAGGTGACGGACATGATGATCGCCAACAGCCACAACCTCATCATCACCGTCAAGCCAGTCAACCAGCGGAACAACATCGTGCGCAGCAGCCGTATCTCCGGCAGCTCTGGCCAGTCCACGGACAGTGGCAGCTCCACGGGCTTCGCCGGCCTGCCGCCCGCGGGCACGGGGCACAGCTTCCCCGCCGACGAGCTGGAGAGCGACGAGGAGTCCGACATCGTGATCGAGAGCAACCTCAAGCGCCCCTC